ATACAATATCATAATTTACTAAATTAAAATATTTAATTTAAATTTAAAATTCTACAAATTTTAAAGGCAGCAAGTAAAAAACACAATAGTTATGCGCATACTTTCAAAAAATAAGATTATATTTAAAAAAAATAAAAGATAATTTTTTTGAAAAATTAAAAAAAAATATTTTTTTTTAGGCAAGAAAAAGATCTAGAAAAGGTTATAATACAAAAAAATAATTAAAAAAATTTTAATATTTCGAAAAACCTAAATATATTAATTATAAAAAATATCTAAATAATTTCAGATATATCCGAAAAATGAGGAAGAACCTGAAGATGAGTAAATTTTTATTTTAGTTTTTTTTAACGAATAGTGCTGCTTTTTTGTTTTTTTTTGAAATCATACAGGTAATCGAAAGAAGCTGAAAATGATTTAAAATAATAGAAAATTCTTAGCTTTTTAATTTACGAAATTTTTTTAATAAAAATATTAATAATTTGCTTTTAATTTATATTAGTTTATTATGTATCATAAAGTATAATGAAAAATGAAATTTTGTATAAAATAAATTAAATCAATATTAATGCAAAAATAATAATGAATAAAATTAGATCGATATATTTAAAAATATTCAAAAATATTCGATAAAGATCAAAATTATGAAATCAATGAATATTTGATTAATAAGTTTATTTATTGTTGATTTATAATTTAATTTAAATTATTTCACATTTTTTCGCATTTTTTTGCACTTTTTTCGAAAATTTTTGAAAATTTTTGAAAATATTCACAATATTATAAATTGTTATTATAAAATTTAGTTCAAAATTTTTTGCAATATTTTTCGCAATATTTCGAAAATTTTTTTGAAATTTTTTGAAATTTTAATTTTCGAAATTTTTCTAATAAACAAAATTTTTTCGAAAAATTTTGGCGTGAAAATTTTTTCGAAAATTTTTATATATATTTTTTGCTGATATAAGGCTAAATAACAAGCAAGAAGTAGAAGAAGCCACATGGCTAAGACTTAAAAAAACACAACTAGACCTAAGAAGATGCAGATATGTATTGAAACTAGAAGAAGAATTAAATAGAGTAAAGCTACAGAACAATCTAAACTTACAGATCTTAAAGGAGGCTAAGAAGTTAGAAATCTCTTACTGATCTAAAGAAATTGAAGAAATGTTAAGATTAGCAGAGAAAGGAACTGAAATTGCAAATATACTAGAAGAAAAAGAAAGACAGAAGTTTATTCAGTACAGGAAGAACTACAATATCTTTATGATAGAACAATTAATAGACTGAGACTATCAGAAAATGATAACTTGGAAGCAGTTAAAGAAGTACAGAGGAGCAAAAGCAAAAGGCAAAAAAGCAAAATAGTTCCAAAAGCTAGAAGAAGAAGTGATCGAAGAAGTAGATGAGAAACAGAGTTTTTGGCACATTGTATCCAAATGGGTCCAGGAGGTTACCCTGGGTATTAAAAAAAATATACATAGTATAAACTCACTATAAACATACTTGTAAATACAAGAAAATAAATTTGCTTTCTTAATTGTTATTCATTCTGTAAACATTAGCTTCCTATTAGAAAAAAATAAAATTTTACTTTGGCACAAACATGAGCAAAGCCCTTTGGGGTGAAGCGAATATGGATGCTATATTTTTTTCAACCAATGCTATCCTTTTAATATATGCTATTATATGAGGCAAATCATAAATACAAAACATGGTTTATCATAGACGGAGTATAGCGGAGCCTTTGTGCGAAGCGAAGTGAAGCACATGTAAACAAACCATAAAGCATATAATAAATGCAATTTATAGTTTACTATAGGCAGAGTGAAGCGGAGCCTTTGTGTGAAGTGAAGCGAAGCATATGTAAACAAACCATAAAGTATATAATAAATTCTAATATCATAAGACAAATAGGTTTACTTATAGATAAAAAAATCGTGATATAAATGCATATATATTGGGTTCTAGAAATATTTCCAGAACATCCTTGGCACTAACCTGTTACTAGCCTGGCACTAGCCCATCACTAACCCATCACTAGTCTGAATTTTTGCAAGCTTTTGGCGTTGATAAAATTTTTGAATATGATATTTACCTGTATGTTCTCTACAAGCATTATAAATAGAGGAAGTTAATTTTCCGCTTTCTATACAGAGAACTCGGTTAGGAGATTTCCAATGAACTTTACACCCTTCTGCTCAATAGCACCACTCATTGCATACTTCTCCAGACCTAAGAATATATGACATTTATAAAATCCCATACTAGTTTGTTTTTTTGAATAAATATGTAATTCTATTTATCTGAATAAATTAATTTTTATTTTAAACTTTTTTGTAACCATATATAATCTTTAGAAAAAAATGAGCGAAATACTTGGTAGTATTACCAGTGCATTAGGACAATTATTCAAAATCTCTTACCAAGCTAGAAAGACCTGATGCCACCCAAGTTACCCAAACCTTCCAAGCCACCAGTACCAGAAGAAGAGCCGGGTCAGAAAAGGAGGAGGAAAGCAACTATAAGACCACTTTAACCTACCAAAATACCGAAACAAGATGGTATTCAGCAATCTGGAGATTCCTGTTCTGGAAAAAGCAAAGTAATAATATTGAGTTCTATGATGGAAGTACACAATGGACTGGCTCTGAAAATGATTTTCGTGTTTTATTACGAGATTGGTTTGTAATCAAAGCCAATCGGAATGAAACACTTTAGGAAGCCCATAAACATTATAATGAAGAAGCTAAAGCAATATTATGGCAAAGTAATAGGCAAATAGACCTACGAACAACTGGAACTTATGCTTCAGCAAGTTTGCGTTTCTTTCAAGATGTTACAAAAGTTTCTAGAAAAGCTAAAGATTTATCACAAGAAGAAGATCATTGGATAAAATCAGCCTACATGGGAGCTTTAACATGGGCTGAACTATATGAAGGAATTGCAACTGAGCTAGATTTCAATGAATTTTATCCAAACATTTTAGCTCATGGAAGCATATATTGGCCAATAGGGGCAGATGAGTTTAGAATATTCTCACATATTAACACAGATTCTATTAGCTATAATCTGAAATATAGAATTTATTATGCAAATATAGAAGGCCATCCAGTGAATCATAAATGTACAAGAATATTTCGCTATAATCCTGCAGGATATTATACCCACTATGACTTATAATTGGCAATAGACCTGGGTCTTTATATAGAATTATCTTCTGAAAGTTCTAATGCTCTAATATTTGGGCAAAATCAGCTCATGAGCGGGTATGATATTTTTTATCAATGGGCAAGTTACCTTACAACAATTAAGAATGAAGATGGACAGGCAGGGAAAGTAGCTAAGCATATATTAGTATCTTTCTGATGATGATTATACTCAGATAGGAGAAGACCAGGACCTCATCAGCGTATGGCTCTATTTATTTCAGCAAGAGGATGCAAAATTATATCAGAAGAAATTAGACCATTAGGAGACCATGTAAAGCATATCCACACAGATGGATTTATCATTTCAGGTAATGCTACAGATCAGTTGCTTGAAAGAAGATATAAAGGTGAGCAGAGAGATCTAAAAATAGTTAATTCAGATAATGTTTCAATAAAGAATGTGATGTGACTAGAGTGAACTAATTTCAAAGAAATAATCCCAACCACACCCACGAACTTGAAAAAATCAACTATCTGTTATTTATCTAGAATGCCAAATGAAATATTTGAAAGAATTTTTCAGTATCACAGTATGAATAGGGAGAAAATAAGTAAACTTTTATTAGTTAACAAGCAATGATACTATATTGCTAATAGACTAATATGGCAAAGAATAATTTTAACAGGTATTTCTGGAGTCAAGTTCACTATGGCATTAAACAAATCTACGAAGCTAGTTGCATGTGCTCAAGTGCTAGGTCTAAAATTTATTAAAGAAATAAATATAGGACCAGATGTATACATTTTCGAAGTGTGCAAAGCATGCCCAAATTTGCAACGGCTAAGTTTTGAAAATTGTGGGTCACATATACTTAACAATAAAAATCTGGAAGCGCTTCTAGTTGAGTGCCCCAATTTAAAATCACTCGTAATAAGAGGCTCCAGATGCTTAAGTCCAAAAACAATTATAAAAATTTCAAAACTGGTCTCTAGTTTGAAAATTATAGAAATTAGGGAATGTTTACGGATTAGAAAGGATATATTAACTGATTTCCAAAATTTATTTCCAAAAATAAAGCTTATATTCATTGACTGACTCAGACAGTAAAATATAATGAAAACAACTAGTTGTCCACTGTTTTCCTAATGCTATTCTTGAGATCACAATTGAGAGATATATTTTTATATTAATATTTTTTTTCTTATAAATTGGCGTGTCGAAGTGAAATAAAAATCTCGTCTTCTCATGATTAAATCACAAGAAGCCAGATATATCGGTAATCCAGATATATCAGTAGCCCAGATATATCTTTTTTCGAGCTTGCGAGAAAAAAGGGTGTATATTCCTCTTTTCTTCACTAATTATTTACGATTGCTAGTAAATCGATCGCTCTGGCTCATACTTATTAAATAAAAGCCTTAATTAATAAAATCAAAATATAAACATGCTCAATATTCAAGATATTTTTAAAGAATGAAAAAAAATAGTTATGCCTGATATATGTTGACCAAATATGGTTTAAACTATATTAATAATCTAAAAACACCAGAAGCTTGGTTACAATTTGTGAAGTATCATCCACCTGCATATATATGTAGACGTAGAATATAATATTAATATAAAGGATCATTAGAAAAACTTTGTATTCCGTATTAAAAATAATTTAATCAGAAATGAATATATAGCCAATAACTCTAAATTTAGAGAGTTTAAAATCCAAATAGCATATTTTAAAACTTTGTATATAAAAAATCAATCAGCAACTATCATTTAGCAAGCATATTATTCATATCGTTTATAGAAGAAACAAATAGATTTAGCTAAAATAATCCAGTACGCAGTAATTAAATAGCTTTATCGAGTTATTGGACCATTTATGAAAAGTGCTCGAGATTGGTATTATCAAAATGCTAATAAACTTAAAAATCATAAAGTTTCGACTCCCTTGATCTATAGATCAAGAGTAATTGTATTACAGGTATAATCTGCCAGAGAATTATCTATTCAATAATTATTGAGATCCCAACCTTTCACAGGATTGGCTAAAGCATCCAAGAGTGCATTATGTATTTTTGTTCCAAATGCCTCAGAACTGGAGAATATATCAAATAATCTATTTTTTCTTCTCTAGATAAATTTGGAAGACGTCTAGTAAATTCCATAAGTACAATGTTCCAATAACGAGCTTCCTGGGCTTGATAAAGTTTTTTCAAAGCATTTTCACCAAAATGTCTTTGATAATCCCATCCGGTATATGTTTTTTAGGATCCCAGTCCCAATAATTGTCCTGATCATCATTACTATCTTCATCATTACTATCTTCTTTGTTGATATCAGATTCGCTATTGTCATTATCATCCAAGAGCATGTGATTTAACTGCGTCCTGTGTTATGTAGCGGGTTATGTATTTTTGCAAATCTATGGGAAATAGATCAATGAATAATTAATCCATCAACTTTTTTCCAGAAAGTTCTGGCATAGTACACATATTGCAAATCTTTTTAAATTAGCATTACGCAAGTCAATCCGATGTCTCTAATGTTAGAATAGGATGAGAAAGGAAATTACACTAGCGATTTACAGATCTAATCCCACGAAATGTAATAGACACTATAGCATCATTTATTCTACATAATAAAATTCTATTACCGATCATTGGTAGATTTGTATAGGGTATGAATTGGGGTTTAAAATGACATAGTTATGCAAAAAATATGTGCAATCTTCTAGATCTTGTATGATCTTAGCAATAAATAATATATTTCTCGATGATAACTTCAACTTTATTACTGTATATTAATTTGATATAAAACTCTAACTAGTAATCATTGGATTTTCTTTAAAGCACTATTAAATGCGCCTCAAATTCAGAGAGAGATATTTGTTATTATTGGACAGGATCCAGGTCGTTATAATTGTTTTATGTAGAAAAATGTAATTATGAAAAATGTAATTATGCTGAATATACATAATAAAGCAACATAATTGTTATTATATTAGATTAAATTTTTATTTTTACGTGTAGTAGAAATAAAGTATAAAATAACCTCTTTTCCTAGCGTATTTATACAAGAGAATTGCATATTATAAAAAAAATTAATTATTAGTATCTAAAAAACTCTAATTTGATCTGCCAATAAAGCTCAAATATAAAAATACTATGCACTGCTCTATCTGTATCATATCCAGTTTAACATTGTTCAACTCTTCAGAAAGCATGCCAGTTTTAGTCTTAACCGCTGTTTTTTTGTTCGTTTGTCTACTAATATTTATGGGAATCATTATCATGTAGATGATTCTTAAACAAAAAATTTCCGATGAACTCTCCATATGTGTCACCAAAATTAAGCATGAAATCACAGATGATCTCTCTGCACATGATACTAAGATCATCAATGAACTCAACGCAATACAACTATTACTGTGGAAATCGAAAGAATCCTTACTGATGTCTATAAAAAACTTACCGCAGAAATTAATACTAAAATTACCAATGAGCTTTCCACGCATCTTTCTGAAATTAATACTGAACTTAATGATAAACTTACTGCCAAAATCAAAAAAATCAATTCACATGATATTGGCTACGCCTTTGAAGCACAGAAACTTTTCAATAACATGGCCACAAGAATTAATAATATTGAGGAAGCATGCTATAATAATTTTGCCTCAGTTAATGCTTCTATTAAAGCTCTCCAAAATGGATTAATTCAACATTACGCAATTACCAGAAAAAATCAGCCAATCGAAGCTGATCAATAAAGTGTATCTAATCATTCTGAAGCATCAAGTCGATCTTATATAAGCTCATCCAGAAGTTCATCTGGCTCAGGCCAATTAACATTCACAGGTATTAGCCTTACTGTCTGGAACCAATTTAAGCAAATTTTTGATTGAATTAAAACTGAAAAAAATTTTACCCTAGAAGAGATGTGTTTAATGGTAGCAATAGAAATTCGTGAACTTGGAGAGAATATTAAAAAGACAACTGTACAAGGGTTTTATAAAAGAAATATAAAGAAAAAAGATGGTTATATTAGCACACTAGACCAGATTGGTTTGTGGGTAGATAGTAAAAATAATGATAGCTTAGCTGATAATACAGAGTAGTAGGAAGAAACTCTTATTTTATAGGTTAGAGCTCGAGTAATTCCTCTCTTTAAACTTGCTATTCCAATAATTATTTTCTACTTAACCAGTCTATAAAATTAATAAAGTTATATTTGTGATTTGATTTTTAAATGCGTTCGTTTAAGAATTTTATTTACCTTGTCTCAATCCGCATGATCGAATTACATTTGATGTACTTTGTGACGAATGCAATCATCATTCACATCTATATTGCAAAGCATGCAAATAAATGTGATAATTTTTTAAGAAAAGAAGCGATAAGTGAAAGCTTCACTGTTTCATAATAGTTTCAAGTTTATAACTCATCTATTATATCCTCGAATAATAATTAAATAAAAATAATGATAGTTTAAGAATTTCTACAATATCGGTATTGTCATTTTAATGTGTAACAATACGTGACCTGTTGTATGACAATCCAGCAATCTGATTGTTTGTATAAACTATAAAAAGATAGAATGTACAACTATTTCTTACTAAAAAAATTTTCTTACTCTGAACGTGTATTTCTTGTACAACTATTTTCACTCAAGCAAATAACAAATAAGCAATCATGTTTGATAATATTTCTCTTCCGTTAGTTGAAGAGGTTCAAAAGTAGACGCGAACTGGCGTTATTACTTTCTTACAAGAAAATGCAGATGAAGATAAGTTAGACCTTGACGACGAAAACATCGCTAAAATTAAAAACAATAAGGTCAAAGACTCAGCCTTTCTTAAGCTAACACTAGAAAAGCTTCAAGCCTCCTCTTATAAACTTCCCGGTGGACTGGCAGAAGTTATAGCAGAATTAATTAAAACAATCAATAGCGAAGAACAGGGTAAGTAGTACCACGACTGCATTTGAATATTCCAAACCTATACTACTATCTCCGCAATAATTTCATTTATTAACTAGTGTCTCATACGTTTATTATTATTAAATAGCTACGACAGTGCCAAATCAGGAGGTGCAAGAATTGAAGAAAAGGTTAGCAATATTACAGGCGTCTAAGATTAGAGAGGAAGGTAGGTATTACGAATATCGCCAAAAATCTATTACTGTTTTTCTTTTATTATGCCATACTGTTTTGCATTGACTAATGTAATAATTCTATTTTTAAGTTCCAATATATTTTCAGTACCTTGAATCAGATGCTATAAAAACTAGTACCAATAGTTGGGAAGATTTTATTAAGCTATATGACCGTTTGGAGAAAGCTTTCAGTTTTAAGGGTTCATTAACCAATTATAAGTTGGTTATTAGCAATAAAAACATAGATTTTAGCTGGTCAAAAAAGGATTTTGTCGATTTTATTAAAAATCACAAGTGTTCAGCAAAAAATCTAGTCAGAATACTTGGTGTAAAGAAAGGTACGATACTTTACTATCAGCAGATAGTGAATAAACTGAACTTATATAATCATGCTTTGTAGGTGTTAAAAGATCATACATAGAAATGATAGGTGATTTGCTACCACCATCGACACTTGGAGCTCCTAAAGAATGGTTTAAACTACAGAAATGTAATCCTATCGATCATCCCATCTGTCTTAATCATTGTCCACTCGAGGCTTCTAGCACTATATCTGTTAGTTTATATAGTTCTATTTTTGGTAAATTTAAGAATTTTTGTGAAGAAGATCCAGAAAGGGAAGACAACCAATTTACCTATAAATTTTGTTACGAAATGGTCAAATATTATGAAAGAAAGGAAGTTCACCAAGATGAGGCAAATAAAATGCTTGAAAAATATCTCGGTCCTTCGGTGGAGTTACTTACGGTTAAATGTAAAAGTTCTGATAGCAGTTTAAAGGATGCACATACCAACAGCACTATGTCCTTTTCTAAGTACTGTGGGGCTAACTTTGAGTACAAGTGTGATGATTATAGCTCTGGTACTTCTCCTTATTTAGAAATTTGTAGCTATTATTTAGTTTTCTGCAACAAACAAGCAAATAGACCCTTATTTGATGAAACTAACCTTCCATGCTTTTTAGTTATAATTGCAGATATTGTAGTAATTTCGACTTGATATTTTTTTCTAAATTTTCAATTGATTTTGATTGCACTTTAGGGCTTTATTTTTCCGTTTCCGAAGCCATGCTTGCAGAATATGCAATTGTTGACCTACTTACCTCTGTTTTTCTCCTTATTTGGCAGAAACATGACAAAATGATGTTATCACTTTCTAGAACATTTATGCTTTGAAGAAATCTCTCAAAATTCTTGATCATTACTATAAGCAAGTTGATAAGCAAGCTCGAAAAATGCCTCAAACAATCAACCTTGAGTATCTTTTATTCCCTAAAGTAACAATTGATGATAAATGTTATAGCATTCAGATTATTCGTCAGATTGGTAATTATCTTCTTTGGGAAGTTACTTTCTCTAATGAACAAGGACCAACTAAAAAAGCCTACGTAAAGGCTATTCAAAAGCGCAAATATTCACTTAATACACATCAGCTCTTAGCAGAAGCTGGATATGCTCCAAAAGTCCTTGCTACTTCAGTTATTCCTGAAAATTAGTTTTTAGTTTATATGGAATATTTTAACAATCATTCGACGTTAAATCATATCACCTTGAATCTTAATGATCAAGATCGAAATTCTTTAAGAGTAAAAATCGAAATGATAGTTGAACATTTACATAATTTGGGACATGTATATGGAGATTTGCATAAAGGGAATATTCTAATTCGTCAATTTGAGAACAATGATTTTGATGTGAAATTGATCGATTTTGAGTGGTCTGGAAAGGTTGGTTCCGCACATTATTCTCACTTTATGAATCATGTTGGTATAAAATGGCCAGATGGTGCAGAAGATGGGAAATTAGTAACAAAAACTCACAATCTTACCATGCTAAACCAGATGCTTTTGAGAACAGGCTTATTGCAAAATCAAATAGAATATTGAAATTTAGTAAAAGTGGATTGATTAAGTTTAGCAATATAACCTAATATTTTTTTTTTTTTTTTTTGAAGTTAAGATGAGATTTTGCTCATATCTTTATTAATTTGTTGAAAAAGCCTCTTGGGGCTTTTCTGGATATAAAATACAATATTTATTCCAATTACAAATATATTACAAGAATGGAGCTCAGACTATAGACAGGTATCTATCTAATTTATCTTCAACCTAAACCTACTAGAGTGGTTAAATCTTACCTAGATTTGATAGTATAGAATATTGTTAGTGAGGTAGCTATGTAGTATCTAGTGTATAGACCAGGATTCAATTTTGCGAAGTGCAAGTCCATGTGGAGGACAGACGTTGTCTTTTGTGTGAAATTGATTGGATAAGCCGCATAGTTGGCAGGTTGTATAGTGTAGGTTCAAGTGTTGATGTGAGTAGTTGTATAGTCTAGTGCGAGTTGTTAGTCTAAGAGGATTGGGTAAGATGTTATTGTCCTTTTTCCATTGTGCTAATTTAGCAGAGTATGGTTTCCATATAAGTTCGTAAATATTGTGTGATATTTTAATTAGGAGTTTGATTGCTATGGTGGTTGCTTCTTTTTGAGATGAGGTATAGAGTCTAATTGTAGCAATAAGGTCTGTTGGTAT